GCGAAAAACTGCGAACTCGGCAAATTTGGTTGCACAACTTCCCTTTATCATATACACCCAGCGACACCGATGCCAGCTGACTGTGTACAAAACTGGTAGGAGGTAATACATTTGGGGCGAAAGTATTCAAAAATCAGTTTTTGGATGTTGCAATGGCAGTGGTGGGCCAGGATTTTTTTCCAATTAGTGACGGCACGACCTACCTGTGAAGTATGAACAAAACCAGCCGAGCCGTTGCTGGTGAAAAGTTACCCCAACTTTGGGGTCAAATTTCTCGGTAATGAAAACAGATATCAAAAATTCAAATGGTAACTTTGTGCCCACACTCAAGCTGAGTAGAATGAGCTATGTTTGAAGTGTTTTATCCCAAATTTGTAGGAGATACATTTGGCGCGAAGCTATCCAAAAATCAAGTTTTTTGGCTGTTGCTATGGCAACGGTGGGGCAAAAAAAATTTCAGATTTTTCCTTATAACTAGGGTTAAGGTGTGACCTACCTGCCAAGTTTGAACGAAATCGGCCAAGCCAAAAAAATCACAGAAGAAATAATACGTGAACACTGGAACACTGGAAATGTACACACACAGACACACACACACACAAAACGACAAAAGTGATTATAAGGGCAATCCTAGCGGAGCGGATCGCCAATAATTTATGAGGATAGGGTTCATATTAGGTAGGTCAAAGTTCACAACAAAATAAGACTCAACAACAAGTTTCAGCTGCAAATTTAACAAGGCACAATTTTGGTCTGAGAAGCCGCTGACATATGCGAACACACCCCAAATGTAGAGAATCTACTTGTTAAATGAGTGCCAAAAATTGTGTCTATATCAACATTTCTTGAGTCGGGAGGTGTAAAACAGTGTACTAGGGTCTCTCACAACTGGCCCATGACCTTCAAGGTCATCAGCCACTGACTTTGGATTAAGCATTAAATTACATATTCCAAATGAATTTGTCAATTATTTTGTATTTCTTCAAGGTTCATGCATTAGAGTAACAGTCTTTAGCTCCGCTGTCAACTTTGCGAAGCTTATCATATGAGTGATTGTCCGTCGGCGTCCGTCGTTGTCCGTGTCAATGTTTTACTTATTCGACTTCTTCTTGAAAACTACAAGCCTGAATGCTCAGATACTTGGTGTGTATGTACCTAGGGTAGACCTCTCTTAGATTTGTTCATTTCATGATGATATCTTCAATTCTCTAATTTAGGTAAAAAGTGATATTTTCGACTTCTTGTTAAAAACCGCAAGTCCAATTGCTTTGATATTACATACATAGGTACTACATGTGGACCTTTCTCAGATTTGTTCATTTCGTGATGATATCTTAAATTGTCTAATTTTGGTGAATGTTTTTGTCATTTTTGGTAAAAAGTGATATTTTCGACTTCTTGTTAAAAACCAAAATTCCAATTGCTTTGATATTACATACATAGGTACTACATGTGGACCTTTCTCAGATTTGTTCATTTTGTGATGATATCCTCAATTCTCTAATTTTGGTGAATGTTTTTGTCATTTTTGGTAAAAAGTGATATTTTTGACTTCTTGTTAAAAACCGCAAGTATGATTGCTTTGATAGTACATATATAGGTACTACATGTGGACCTCTCTCAGATTTGTTCATTTCGTGATGATATCTTCAATTATCTAATTTTGATGAATATTTATGTCATTTTTGGTAAAAAGTGTTATTTTTGAAGTCCGATTGCTATACATACTATACATATTGTTCATTTTCTAATGATATCTTCAGTTCTTTAATTGAAATGTGTCTTGCTAACAGCGGAGCTATTTCAGCCGAGAGGATGCTTGTTTATTATTGTGTTTTGATTACCATATTTTTTCCTAAAAGGTTCCCAAGGTGAACAATAACATACACAGTATATATCAGGTTCAAAGTGTTTATTTACAATAAAATATCCGTTACTATAATTAACAAATTATTCTACATGTAAATCATCTTCCTCAAAGCTGTTTGTTCTGTCTTGAAGTTGATATAGATCATCATCATCACTTCATGCTTTTCTGTAATAAACAAAAACAAAAAAGGGTTAAATATAAATCCTACATGTATACAGTGAGCAATGTTGTTTCTATTTTTTCTAAATGTAATTTAAAATGAACTACCGGTAATAAAGTTTATTATAAACTAGTACTAGTATAATGAATTTTAGCTAGTGACCCCCCCCCCCCCGAGTTATAAGGTAGTTACAAATGTATGCGCTGTAAGGAAGTAAAGTGTTCTAAGGAAAGATACCCAATAGTAATTGTGTACTCACCATTTATTCACTTGTCTTCACTTCATGCTTTTCTGTAATAAACAAAAACAAAATAGAGTTAAATATAAATCCTACATGTATACAGTGAGCAATGTTGTTTCTATTTTTTCTAAATGTAATTTAAAATGAATTCTTGCCTAGTTATTTTTGAAACTCAGTTCATTTGTAATTTTAATACATGGTAACTGCAGAATGAAATTGTAATACTTGTTTTTATAAAACTTGCAGCATATTAAAAAATATGTACACGGACGAGGCCAGCTTATAGTTCAACTTATTTGACCTCGAAAAATTACGTTTGGGCTATGATTTTTTTTCTCGATCATTTCGCCGATCGATAGGAAACTCCATTGACATTGTTACTAGTAGATATGCTAATTATCCATTGACTTTACGTCAAACCAATATGACGTCACACTTTTATATATTGCTATCTGTTCGTTTTTCAATGTATCCACTAAATTGAAGAAATAGAGCCGGAAGATCGACATAGAAGCATCACTGGCTTCTGTGCGAATGTTGTGTGATACTTAAGGTAGCAGCCTACTCATAAATTAAAAAACCTAGAATTTATTCATTTTGCAATAAATTGTACTCCAAGGATATGAAAGTTTGTTATTTTCTCCCTGATTAGTAAGAAACTGTTTTTAGTTTCACGCAGTGTTCAAGATTGTTACCCTCGTATAATAAATATCAGTGGATTAATCGCATTTATAATATTATCACGCCAGCTGACTGGCCATTTTCGGGCTCAAATCATTCAGTAAAATCCAGATATGTACCAGCCTGAGGATGCGTAAAAAACATTCTATGTTCCCTAATGCAATATAGACTCGCCAAGAGTGGGCGTGATCACAAACCGGAGCCAGCAAGATTCGAAAGCCAACTGTTTAGTCAAAACCCAAGCAGTTAGCCAATTGCTAGCGAGTTTGCAAATTGGCTGCCCCAATACTTCTGAGACTTGCTGTAATAGTTTGATTGAATATTTCTTAAACTCAAATATATGCAAGTGTGGCGCCTAATTTTTGAAAAATTTCACTTAAAACTTATTTTCTTGTTGTTATATTCAAATTTAAATATTATATTAACAAGTTTGGAATCATGAGTAAGGTTGAATTTGATGTGTACTCTGTTTTTTTTGTTTTGTTTTTTGTATTAGAAAGCTAAATTTTAGCTGTTATAAAAACAGCATGTTGATTTATTTCATATAAAAATACCAAGGCAAAGAACAAGTTTGGTAGACTTTTGTGACTAAAAGTTTGATAATTAGTCAGACATGTAAAGATTAAATTTTGGTTACAGTGTTGCAGTGTCTCGTTTCAGGATTTATATTGACCAAATTTGGATTGACAGAAAAAAAAATGATCCTGGCAGCCATCTTGTCATGACTATTAATTTTTGCAAGACTGAAGAGGTATTCCAAATTTGAAGTCATTTTTGAGTTTGTCTTGAATTGTACTACAAATGCTACCATGTTGTGGATTGTTTCTCATTCATATGCAAATTGTTTTGTTATAGCTACTTCAAGCCTTAACTAGACTGACTGGGTACTTCTGCTTGTACGACACACACCTACCTATCACAGGAGCATGAAGCTAAGTCCAAAGGAAATCGAGGGATTATTGATCCACCAGGCTGGATTTCTGGCCCAAAAACGACTGGCACGGGGCGTAAGACTCAATTATCCAGAAGCGGTTGCACTCATTGCATGTCAGGTTTGTGTCGTTTCATTCCTTGCTTTGACTCAAAATTTTGTACTGAAAGCATTACATTGAAATTATACACTGTTTAAAGTTGCGATTCGAAATTGCGAACTATTCACTACGTTCAATTACCCACCATAGACTCCGGTCAGTCAAAATGACTATTTTGAACAGTAGGCATTAATCAGCGGTTCTGCCGATGATGGAGAGATAGAATCTAGGTCAGGGGAAGCCCCATGACCCCAAGATTCTCCTTCCCTTACGTCACGAACCACGTGACCGAGGCCATATGGCAGCGCCATAGACGGCTGTATAATCACTCTTTCTTTTTCTCCGCATCAACAGGGATGAAGTTTTAGCGGCTCTGCTGGATCCCAAGGCTCTTTCCCCAGACCCCGGTACCACGAATTTACGTTTGGCAAACCGAGCAAAAGGGGACAGCCGCGTTCCATGGGCATTCTTGCCAATCGGAGACAAACCATCCAGCCCTAAGGGCAGAGTTGCTAGAGCGCATTATTGTGCGTGCCCAGAACTCTGGAGACCACTGAGGCAGAATGCACCAGCCTCCTAGACCAGGCGACATTTTTACTGGTGGGCCACCGCACATCTACGTGCAACACCCCCTAGTGTCACCTGGCTCTCTTGGCCGGGGCCACTACTGTGCTACGAGACGCACCCTTAGACGCACATGTTTTCGGGGGGGTTACGTCCCCACCTCAGTGATGCAGACTGGACATCTTCTACCCTCTTTGTTCAGGGAATGGTGGGTACAGTCTCGGAGCTTCGTAGTGCAATGAACCAGAGGGTTCAGATCGAATCCGCTGGCCAGTTGGCCCTGCCAAGGGCAAGCGGAGGGCACCCCAAGCACAGAAAACACAACGCCCTAAGGCGACATCTGCTAGCCAGAATCAGCCAGGAGGCAAACGCTCATACCCTTCCATGGGAGGGAAGAGTAGTGGCGCGCCCCCAGAGAGGAAAGAGCCAGGTGGTGGCTCCTCACCCTCCCTGGGCGGACGTCTACCCTGGCAGCGGGGGAAGCGTGTTTGACGCTCACCTCTGCAACCGAGCTATCTCAGCCGACTGGCTGCTTGTTTTGGCACATGCCGACTCATGCCCGACCATTTACATACACGTTTTGACACATGCCATCTCAGCTCGACTCAACCCAAGATCTGTAACATGATTGCCACTAATATACTGAGAAACTATTTACCTAACAAAATGGCTAGTCATTACACACTGTTTCCACAAGAAGCAATGGCTATATTGTAAGCAATATAGATATATCATTAGCAAAACAGTGTCTTGTACTGCAATATTGTCATTCCATTCGTTCTTTCCTGTCACAGCAAGTGCCATGCAAAGAATAAAAACATTCCGTATATCATGCCTCTAATACCACACACAGGTGGGTTTTTTCTAAGCTTTTAATAACATTTGTATATCATTATTAATATTGTCAATTATTTTTGCTGGAACAGATACAGGAGTATATACGAGATGGCCAGCATTCAGTGGCTCAATTGATGGACATGGGAAGCCGCATGTTAGGTATGTATGCAGCAATATAATGTCAAGGTCATATACTGTCAGTGATTTAAGAGCCGAGATTCATTGTGACCTTTTTTTAGCAGTGGTTACACTTTACTTGAAAAATTTAGCATACATAAATATCATCTATTGATCAAATCATAAATGTATAAGTAAATATGTTATAGTTCGTGTAATAATTGTAGGTCATACATTAATCACTTAATTTTCATGATTTAATGACAATCATGAACACAAACATTCATGTTGAGGGTAGCTTATACTCTATATCATACATGAATTACCCAATAGAAATATTACTTAATTTGCACCGACTCAGGAAATTCGTGAAAATTTGTCTTTCACAGATTTAAAGTACTTAGTAGTATACAGTACCCTCGTTATGACAAACTTCTCAGAGCATTTTCACCGCCTGGAAACCATCACAGTGAAAACAAAGGGAGAAAACCTTTTTAAAAATAGGGTCTTTGAGATTGTTGTTGAATACATGAATGTATGCACTACTGTAGAATACTTTATTTTAGCTGGAATTAATTTTCAATGAAAAGAATTTTTTTTTCACTGATTTTTGACTAGTTGAATGTAAAATATAGAAAAACCATTCCTTCAGCGAAAATAGCAAAAATTAATAACAAGCGAAAATAAAGTATTTTACTGTATTTGTATAAACCAATCTTTTACAATTTTGCAGGATTAAAGCATGCTTTCATAACCACAATATATCAAAACTGGAGATTTTAACTGGAGTTAAAATATGTGCTTAATAATTACCTAATTTGCATATTTTATTTTTCTGTTTTTCCATCTATATCTCTAGAGCTAATCATAACATTCCAATGAAGCTTGATACATGTATCACCAGACAATGCACAATTCTGATTACTTTTGTGTTGAAACCTGTGCATACTAATTAATTAAAATGCATAATAGTAAACCAAGTTTCCACTGACATTTCAGAAACCAATTATTGCATTATGTAAGACATGGACAATTGATTAGATTAGAGCTGATTAGATTTGGATTGAAATTCAAACATTCCAGTTATTTGCATATGGTGCATAGTCATTACATTTCAATGAACTTAGTACGTAGATACTCTGGCATAATCCAGACATAATTAGTTTAATATTGCTCCAGAATAAATCAGACTGCAAACCACAAAACACAGGAACAAATTCCTCTATGCACTATTTATATACTCTCCTGATTGCAAAATCTTGCCAACTGAAGAATTGATTATCAAGATTTTCTCAAGTGTACACAAATATGTTTGTAGTAGTTTAGCTAAATTTGTATTTCAGATTCTAAAATTATTTTAGATTAGTTGTTTCTTATATTGGAGTTTTCTCAAGCATTGTTTTTGTGTACGTTCCAAATAAAAAATATCTTATCCTATCCTATATGTACCATTACATTTATTTTTTGTGAATGTTATAAACTTCTATGCTGTGAATCACATTATTGTGCATCTCAAAAAGTACACCTATATTAGTCGCCGAGCTTCTTGTTTAAAAGGCTAATCATAAGTTCAGAATTTCCTATATTTCCTTCATATGTCTCCAATACTCTCAGCACACATTATTAGTTTTCTGACACTGACATGATGATGATGAAGAAACATCTATTGGGTCTAAGGTGTGGGTTTCTGCAAAATTTGATGATTATAGATCTCTACAAATTTTACTGACTTTCTGCCCACCAATGTATGTGTGCATTAACTGTGGTCTGCGTTACAAGATGAGTGGTTTCTATGCAGGTATATTTATTTAATTATCACAGACAACGTAAATCCATAGACTTTGAACTGAGCTTGCATAGAATGTAATAAATATGTGTTTTGTGATCCAAAAGTAATAAGAGTAGAATAAAATAAAATAAAATAAAATGCTTTATTTTAGCACCTTAATAAAAAATACTTTTCTTCTTTGGTTTTAAAAAAATCTAATGTTGAGGGAGCAGATCAAGACAGTCATCAGAATGTCAAGGCACTGTGGTCCTGATTATTTTAAGGCAACAGACAAACTAAAGATAAGAATCAGCTTGTCTGGCAAATTAACAGTCAAATGAATCACGTTTGACAATGAATAGTTAGTCAGTTGATTTATTTTCGTGTGTAATTTGCTTAGATCTCATATGATAATTGATTCCTTCTTCCAGTGACCTATACATCTACTAGCCACAGTGTACTTCTTGATTCTCTCGTTGAAAATGTTTATGAAAAAAAGTTGGGAGTTGCACTCCGACTTAATGTACTCAGTAAAACAAGGTCACATAATGATTACCGGTACTGCATTTGGACCACAAGTTTTAATAATTGGTTTAACTATGGTGTAATTTTCAAGTGACTAAGATTTAACTAATTTGTATCACGACTGGGACAAGTTGGTAGAATTTCTGCCAATCAAATTGTTCTTGTGTATCCAGAATGTGTAGCCTAATTTGTGGCGTGTTCGTTGTTGCCATAAATCATTCCATAAGCAGGTTATGGCATATAACCACAGACAATTCAAGACAGCAGTAGTACAATGTATCATCAATTTTGAACTTTGCAAACAGTGACACAGTTATAGGTACAATTTCCATATTTAACCTTTTCACCACCAGTTCCCTCTATTCATCACAAATTCACAAAATAGTCCTGTTTATAGTCTGCACTTTTTTTGAGTAAAAAGTGAAAAATGATTCAAATTTTGTCTGTTGGCTCCAAAATTAGGGTTCATTTCCAGAAATATTGAAGAATATAAGCAACATACCCGTTAGTGCAGACAAATTTGGGCAAGAAAGTCTGGTGCTGAAAAGGTTAATTTGATTTGTCTCCCACATTTTACTGTATTCATTTTAATTTTTGAATTGTGTTCTAGTATGCTTTAAACTTTCATTAAATCACTCCAGGCTTTGTGTATACATTTAAAAATCGTTCATCCCTTAAGACTTTTGACTTACTTTTGTTAGGTTGTCGGCTGGTTCAACCCGGTGTACGTGATATGATTCCAGAGATCCAGATTGAAGCCACATTTCAAGATGGTACTAAGTTAGTCACTGTACATGATCCAATCAGTGTAGTGAATGAGTTTGGTAACCTAGAATTGGCCCTTTATGGTAGTTTTTTACCAGTTCCAGATACTAAATTGTTTGAAGGAAAGGTTAGTTTTGATTCTGTCGTTTCCAATGGCATTCATTACATGTGTACAATTTAAGTGTTTAAATTACTCAATACATCACCTTCTGATAATCTTTTTTTTTTTTTTTTTAAATGTTTTTGTGCCAGGTGACAGTATGTTCCGTACATTGAATGTCACTATTGTCTCTCCTGACTTTTTTTTTGTAAGTGCAAATTGCAAGTGCAAGTGCTGAAACATAGTGCATTTTGCCACAGAAGTCATATTCATGTTTGGGATTACATGACAAGGCTGTGTAAACATCTCTCTATCAAATGGCAATTTGAATGTGCTATCCTGGCATCAACCAGGCCCGGTCGAACACAAGCACCTGCCGACCTTGACCAAGGTTCGCCCAAAGTCGCATTCGTTAGTGAATGAATCTCGGCCAGTGGAATTGACCATCCCATTAAGTCTGTGGCACACTTACCCAGGGTAGGTGTCAACCCTTTTGATGTTCAGCCTACCTTCTAATAATATTCATGGTCAGCCAATATGAATTGGAAAAATGCATCAATGGTTTTGTACAGGGCGTGTTTGATTTTCGTGTAAATAAACAAAGTAATTTACTTGAGTTGTGTACATTGCTACAGATCTCATTTCAAACACAATACCACCCTTTAATTATGGGTTCCTTGTTTAGATTTTTGGAGAATGACTTTTTCGGCACTGTGTCTGTGTTCGAAAACTAACCTTAAAGTGGGGGAGGTGTCATCTGCGCATGCGTCAGACGGCCATAGTACATGTATGTCATTGTTTACAAACATGTTTACCCATGAGCATTTGCGTTTTTAGCGTGTGTTATCATCACTTGGGACTCAATTCCCATGCGTGTGCAGGTGACACCCTCCCGCTTCAAATATTTGCAATAACATGAAGATTATAACAAATACATTGAGGGGTCACCAATAACAAATGCATGTAGATTTAGGGGTCACCAATTCATTAACACAGCAGCTGCTTCTTCCAAGTTTCATGGTCAAATTTGAAGTGTGCTGGCTAACTCCATAACTTATTTTATTTATTTATTTTTTTTATTTTATTAACAGGATGATGATGCTACTGTACCAGGCCAGTACATCATCTCAGATGCCAAGCCAATTGAAATCAACAAAGGACGAGAGACAAAAACTATTAAAGTTACAAGTTTATGCGATCGCCCAATCCAAATTGGCAGTCATTATCATTTCATTGAAGCCAATAAATATTTGAAATTTGACAGATCTGCAACTTATGGCATGAGATTGGTAAGTAAATAGAGTATAATAAAATGAAGTAGTTATTTTTCTTGTACATAATCAATATTTAGTGAAAACAAACTTGACAAGGGTGTGCTTTTATTAATACCCATTGACACAGTTAGAAAATAGGGATTTTTGGATTGATCTCTGTGCGTACATTTTCACTTGCATCTTGGACATCCCTGGACTGATCACACGTTAACTTCACACATTTAATTTTGCAATTGGAATGAAGATGGCTAATTGGCTGAAAATTCATTTGTCATTTTCTTGTTAAGATCAGATTCATATCGCCAATTGGTAAATAAATGTAATAACTACATTTAAAATGTTTCATCTAATAAATATTGCTTTTAAATTTAAAAAATGACAAAACAGAACAATCAGTCAGGCTTTAAAATATTCATTTGTACGTACCGTACTAGCTACGATCATAAAATATTCTTATTCCTTACTTACTGCGATATTGTGTTTAAATGAGCTACAGGCAAGTAAGAACTAAGTACCGATAGAGTTCAAAAAAACCAATAAAAGAATACACACATAGTTTGGTTCAATGACTCTCCATTTAATTGTCCATAATTTGCTGTGTTTTTTTAATTCGTGTGAAAAACGGACATTGATTCACAATCCATATGTTAACAAGATATTCAGGTGTCTATTGCGGTAGTACCGGTATACTTGTATTTGTTTGTTTTATTATTATTTTATTTTTATTTTATTTACTTGTTTTGCTGTTTGATTCCAGAACATAGCAGCCGGAACTGCAGTTAGATTCGAGCCCGGAGAGGTGAAAGATGTATCGTTAGTTGAAATACAAGGAAACAAGTAAGTCTGATGCTTATGTATTTTTATCACAGTTTCCTGGTGTAATATGTACACAAAGGTTATATTATCATGTTCGTTTTATCCCATTGTTTTTACCGTAATGTATTTAATTTCAGAAAAAACAAAGTTTTGTACCTGTGAACACTCCCTTTACAGCTGGCGTCAAAATACATAGAGAGGAATTGCCAGGAAACCATGGAAACCTCAGAAAGTATGGAAACTTCAGAAACATGTAAAGTTGAAATTGG